TTTCTCGATAAAAATCAGTCAAGATTTGACACGAGAAGCTCCAGCTGAAGCTGGACGTTTGTACAATTACACTAAGAGTCCAAACTATCAATCAGAGACAAAAGGCATGGAGTAGATTGAGTGTGACAGCTAACTTTCCATCATTTAAAGACCTTTCATGCATCAATGCACTTTATAGTGTTTATTGAATTATACTGTCTCTAATCATGAGCCATTCGACAGTATTTTAGAAGTAATGCATAATGGCATGCTCACTTCTCATAGGAAAGCTCTTCATCGATGCAGAAACAGTGTCTGTCAGGAGTGCTCTTCACCTTCTGATGAAGAAGAGCAAAATACAGCTGATCTGAAAAACACATGAAGCCAAACTATAAGGCAATCTCTCACAATTAATGTACTTCCTGCAGATTTCATGCAGTCTGTGAATGTAAACACGTATGAGTCCATGTATTAGTTTGAATCCGCGTACCGGAAGTGAGTTCTCAGAACTAATCATGTGCATGATTAAAAAAATAAAAATAAATAAAAAATATGAGCCTCACCTTTAATGAACTCGACGCAGTTTGACAGAGCACACGTTTCTATTGTAACGTTGTTCCGGAGCATTATTTAATCTCGGTTTAGTTTAATAATAATAATAAAGCCAAAACACATTTACACATTCAACCAAAACAGTCTAATTTAGGTCGACACTTCAAGAAATTATGCAGCGAATTTAAAAGAATGTAAAATATCTAATTTTTACTTGTCGAACCGGTTTTACGCAATAAACCCTGCATTAAAAATATTTAAATTAGAACTATGAAATAAAATAACGCCACGCGAGCGATCTCCCTCTCGCCTGAAGTCTGAATAAAGTTCAGTTTAAAATCCAACGCAACGTTAAACCGTTTCCCGGCGCCTGATTGGCTCAAAGCCACGTCAATCACATGAAGCTCCTCCCTCCATAATTTAAATTGAGCAGCAGGCAGGCACGCTGCCCAAGCCGTTGCTAGGAGAGGAGAGCTGATTGGCCAATAGAATCTCACGTCACTCTGACTGAAAGCTTTGATCCGCTATTACACTCATTTCGCGGTGAGCGAACAGAACAAAGCAGCTCGTTCCGTCTCTAACGTTACACAGACACCATTAGAGAGTCATCCTGACATATAATCAACGATAATCGCTACATAAACAGCGCTTAGTTTGTGATGTGATCTCATGTTTCGTGTTAAAACGACCATTCCGTGCTGTAAACCGCCAAACTAACCCCTGACAGGATTTGTACGACGACCGGTTTAACCCTTTGAGGCAGTTCCGGCAGCGTCTGTAGTTTGTTTACCTGTGATACGAAGGTAAATATCGCTCTTGGACTCTGTCTGCTTCCTCAGAGACGCGCGGAGTCTCTTCTTCGACTCGCTCCGTCGCTCACTCTTGCGCTTCATGCCTCGCTACGCGTGAAAAGATGGCGTTTCAAACGCGAACGCGCGATGGAACAAGCATTTGCGCGTTGGTTTGCGTAGTCCGGCTCCTAACGGCTCCACGCGCTGCAGACCAAACTATATTTGCAGCCAGTTGTCCTGCCAGTGACGTAGGGAAGGCAAGTTTGTTCTAAAAGCCTTGCGAGTGACGTCACTGCGCCGCCATCCCTCTGCCCAACATCCGGGCATAAAAAGACTTGTAATATTTTTTCACGAATATAGAGTTTTTGATTAATGACTCAATGGTTTGTACACTCTGGCATGTTTTTGTAAAATATTGTATATTTTGTTCTGGTTAATAATAATAATAATAAATAAATAAATAATAAAAAAAAAAACATCCGGGCACCGACAAGGTTTTTTTTCTGATGACTTTGGCCTCGTTTACACTGCAGGTCATTATGGAAGGATATTCCGGACTATTTTCAAAGGGAATTGTATCTTCAATTGCGTTTTCCATATGTGGACGCACAGTGACTGCCAAATTTCAAATGAAAAAGCAAAGTCCATTTGCAGCTGTATTTCCCATGTCTTAGGAGTTACGAGCCTGTCATATTTAAATAGCAATATTAATGACCAGTCTGCTTTTTCACTCTCGCATGTAACCTGCCAAAACTCAAAAGGAATAGCAATTCCTTTTACATTTGAATTTCCGATGTCTACACGGAAAGCAGCCAATCAATGTGAGGGGGCGGGACTATAATAGGGGGCGTGTTTGTATTGGGAGGTGACGTCACTCACGCTCTGATCAATGGAGGTAATCGGTAAAGGCTCCACTAACCTAACCTTTATCATTTTATATCTAAACTAAAGCATTCATGTACGAAGAACAAATAATCAAATGTAAAAAATAACTTAAGTGTGTTCATTACAAATACATTGATTATTAAAACTACAAAAGCAGTTCAATGAAGTGCAGCGAGTGATTCCCTCTTCTTTTATTGTTAGATTAATATTAATTAACCTATAATAATTATTATATATTAATAAATATATAATAATAAATTATTAATGGTACAGACGTCCTATACTGTAATGCACGGATGTAATATAATGTTACACATCAGATGTTTTTCCCCAAATGTTCCCCAAGCGTTCACTTAAGACAGAACAGGTTATGTTTGCGTGAATACTGAAATACTGTAATTCTGTATATGTGTGTATGTTTATCGTGGTCGTAACTTCTTAATATGGGTACGGAACAGATGTTACAGGTAATAACTTGATCAAAAATTCATGGCACCAAATGATTTTTAAGTCAGTTAATAAGTTGAAACGACAATTTGATTCAACTTAACTCTTGCTTATAATGCCATTTTAGGCTTCGGCTACTTTTTCAATGAATATACAAATGAATACAATTAATTTTATTTATTTTTTTGTTGCAAAATTTTAATTTATTTATTTTCAACAAGCTGCAACCTCCTGCTCTCTCTCGTGAAGCCAACACGGAAGTGACAAACTGTAATTCATCGACTGGCCGCTAGTCCCGCCTCTTTGCCCATTTTCGATTATCCGGGAGTGACGCGTGGTGACGCGCGGCCAAGATGGCGACGGCCGGCTCCGCCCACTTTTGAGCGTCAAAAACGCTCTTCGGAAATCTACGGGTGACGTCACGGACACTACGTCCATGTTTTTATACAGTCTATGGTTCTAACACTGCATCCCCAGCCCCCCCATTTTATCTCGGGCTACACGACAGGGGGTGCTGTAGCACCCCTACTTCCCGCGGTACCGCCTGTTATTACTCAAATCTACAATAATAATGCTAAAGAGCTAACCTTAACTGGACATTCCACAAGGCAACTTCAAAAATTAAAAACGCCAACAAAGCAACTACTTTATTAACGTTAATGTTACGTGACGTTCGACAACGAGGCTTCGAAGCTTGTATTTAAAAAAAACGAAAAATTTCTCAGTGAAGCACTGTACCGGAGCTTGATTCGTTTTGCCAAAACCACGTGATCTGTGACGTCCGAAGCTTCGTTTTCACACACAACCACGTGACTGCTTCGTATTCTGATTCAAATAACGCGAACCACTTCAAGTGTCACTCACGTCTTTGAAAAGAATAAATCATAATACGAATAAATATTTGCATGTTTAGTGTAATGTTGTATTAATTCCTGGTTCACAGACACTTTAACTGACCATTCTATGATAATCTTCGGTTATTTTGATCATAGCCTATTGCATAAGGTCATCTGATTGGCTGACGCCTGCGTTGGCGCTTGAAAAGTTGAAAAGTTTTCAACTTCTGCCGCGAGCAACGGACCCACAATTCATTTCGCCAACGCTTGACGTCACTCCATTCAAAGTAAAGAGAGGCGTTGACTCTGACGCCCCGTATGAATGGGGCGTAAGAAAGCTGTAAAAACTGTGAATCTGTTCAAAAGATACATTATTGGCTTGCTCCCTGGCATTTGATTTAATATCATTTTGTTATTAATAAAACCGACAAGTTGATACACTTAATAAAAAATCCCCTCATTTTTGGAAGCAATGAAAGAATACTTCCAGAGTTAATATTTGATGGCATTGAAATATTTACTTCCTCTTGTAATGATAAAAATATAAGACACATTTTTCAATCAAAATATAAAATCTCCCCTAGAGGAAAATTCTTTTGGAATGCAAAAACTTCTGATATTAATTGGAAAGCGGCCTGGTCAAATCCTTAGACCAGTTTGGAGTAGACGTCACAGTTACATCACATGCAGCTGCGTGAGCATTGTGGTGGCAGACAAACACTGCGAGCAAGAAACAGTTAATTAATCGTGATTTACGGACTTGCTTTTTGAGTTGCAAAGATATAGGAATAGAAAACATAGCACATTTATGATCAGAAAACCCATTGTCCACTATCTCCAGATCATAAAGAGAAATTCCATATGATAACACAAGATCAAGAGTATGACCACTTTGGAACAATTTCATCCAAAAAATCTGAAATCTCATTTAAGAAGTCTGCATTGTATTTAGGAGGGCGATATAACAAGGCAATCAATAGTGGACTATTTAGTTCAAGTATAAACAGTTGCAGCTCAAAACTTCTGTATTTATTTTGTACTATTTGGCGATGAGAAAGTTTGTCTTTAAAAATAGAAAGTAATCCGCCGCCCCTGCCAGTTAAGCGAGGCGAATTTAAAAACAAACAGCTTGAGGGTAAAAGTTCCGAAAGAGGGCTTGAATCACCGATGGTAAGCCAGGTTTTCGTAACACATAAGCAGTCCAACTCGCGCGAGGTAAAAAAGTCATTTATAATAAAAGTCTTATTTACCACCGATCTTGAATTTAGTAGACCCATCCTTAACCGAAGCGGATTGTCCGTTAGCTCCTTTGACTGCCGCAACTGAGGAAACGTGCGAAGATGGTTGAAGCACACTCGACGGTAGATTTGGGGAGAGCCATAAACACAAGAGGTCACCGTGGCTGGGACCAGGGGATATGATAGATCCAGGGAACGCCAGCGAACAGAATAGTCGCCGACCGAACACCTCTCCCGAAGTCCCAAAGGCCGCACACCAGACTGCAGAGCCAGTCTGCAGACTGCAGACTGAGCAGTGGGCAGCCATTTATGCTGCGGCGCCCGGGGAGCAGTTGGGGGTTCGATGCCTTGCTCAAGGGCACCTCAGTCGTGGTATTGAAGGTGGGAGAGGGCGCTGTACATTCACTCGCCCCACCTACAATCCCTGCCTTGGGTTACGAGTCCGACTCTCTAACCATTAGGCCACGACTTCCCCAACCGTGGGGAAGTGTTTCTGAAGCAACAGAACCTAGGCTACTGTAGCACCTGTACAAGAACAAAGTTGGCGCGGCGACGCACGTAGTTCAAAAAATTTTTTTTTAAAAATGACGCTGCAGTTCCACGGCAGCTGCGGAGTGCAAAAATAAATGCAAAAAAGAAATTTACGTGCCCTGCACATGAAATGCAGACAATAGCCTATAGTAGCCACAAATTAATAAGGGCAGCGGCTATTTACACTAATGCTGCCTTCACGTCCTATCTGAATTATCATAAATACGAGTTTCCTAATTGGAAATTATGCTGCATTCACGTCATATCGTAATTATCGTAATTTCGAGATGACAGCACGTGACGTTCTACTCGGAGCTGTTCACGTCCTCGGACTCTAAATTATGCTTTTCTATGGCAACACTATCAACGCCTAAACAGAGCCTGCGGTGGTCACGTGGTACAAGTCGTAGCTCTCAGAAAACTCCCAGTTCACAAGTTGTAATTACGAGTTCTACAAGGACGTGAACGCTTTTTACAAGTTGGAATCTTGTAATTATGGGAATTCCAATATTTTCACTCAAGTTGCATTTACTACTGGGAAATTTTTTTGATACCAGAGTTTCCGAGTTGGGCG